GCGCTGCCGTGCGCGGGGAGCGTCCGGCTCCCCGCCGGTCTAAACAGCCTCGTGGCAGCAGCGCCTTGGCCCTGAGGGTGTCATGGCGCTGAGCTTCTAGCTTGCGTTTCGCTTTGCTTCACTCTTCCCCTCCCGCCCAGCTCCGGTGCGTGCGCGGTCGTACGTTACGAGACTCTCCGCTTCCCGTCGCTGCCGCGCCGCTGCCGTGTGGTTAGTAAGCGGCTGCTGAGACCGTCCCACAAGAGAAGCTGCGTTTCAGCATGAATGAAATGCCCGTGCATCCCAATTAATTCAGGCCTCTGTCAAGATAATTGCGCTAGCTCCCGTAACGAGGCTTCTCGCTGAAGTGCTCTGTAATCCCCGGCAGCAGGGGCAGAGGAGGGTGAAATACTGCTGAGTCAGTGAGCGGCAGCGCTGATGTTAATCCTCTCAATTTCTGCAGGCGAAGGAAAGAGAACTGGAACTGAAAAACACGTGGTCTGAAAACAAGCTCAGCCGACGTCAGACTCAAGCCAAATACGGATTCTAACACCTCTGTCCCACTTTTTGGCTCTTGTCCCAGGTGACCTCCCGTGTCCGACTTCTCCTGGCCTGGAGATCAGCCAGGCCCCGTGTAGAACGGGGCCAGCTCGGCGGGTGGGAGGATACTGCGCTCCCCTGCCTGTCAGGAGAAAGGTTTAATGCAAACCGGTCCTGAAACTCCACCTGTAATCTTTCCCCTCCCTCCTTATAAACGATAATGTGGAAGGTTCAAATCAAGCCTGTTTTCGTACGACTGATGCCGGTCCCAGGGCAGCCGCAGGAAACGTGCCTGGTGCAAGGCTCGGAGCTTTTGTCCTGTAGGTACGGGGGCTACTCCTCCTTCGACGTGGCCTCGCCGCTGGAACCTTAGGCAGAGTCTCAATAAACTTCCAATTCCCACTTTGCTCCTTTCTTGGACTCGCTGTGCGTTGAGAGTGTAATTTTTCTTTCTAAAAGGCAGTGAGTTTCAAGCGCGAGCTTGGCTTTTTACTTTTATTTTTTTTTTTTTTGTCCTTTGATTTGAGACGTCCTCGTGGCCGCTTACTCGCGTCCGAGTAAATCCAGTGCTCTCCTGCGAATGATTTTGAGATTTATCCCCCTCCCCCGCCCCAAGCGTGGCTGTTAGCGTTTTTATTTCTCAGCTCCACCAGCCTGTATGTCTCGAACCACCCTGAGGGGAAACTCCTTGACAGGTCAGAGCTCGCAGTAGAACGCCCCAAGTGTGGAACTCGCAAAAAGCCGCGAGGATCTCTCGCCCAGCGCGAGGCGCTGCTGAGGGCTTTTGGACAAACGCGACCCGTGCGTGTACGTACGTTTCTCTTCCCTTTTTGCCCTCTTTCCTCCTTCCCCCCCCACGGCCTGCGGTGCTCTACCAGGCTGCGCGCCAGACGTCTCGAACCGAGCATTCCCAGCGTCGCACGGGGCGGTGCAGCTGGCGGAGGGCTCGGCGGG